CCACCTACATAGTGATGGATTACTGTAAGATGAGCGAAAATCCTATAAAAGGATGCCAGAAGTTGGCGTAAATGACGAGAGAAATCAGCGTAATCTTACGATATTATTCGATAAGAGTCATTTAAAGTTAGCGGTAGAATGAAGGCATCGCGAAGTTAATAGCGTCAAGAAAAAAAAAAAGCATTTCTGAATATTTTGTGTTTCTGTGAGTTTATAGTGAAACCATGCGTGATATATGTGGGATAGATCGTAAAAGGAAGCCTTAATTGCCTTAGAGATTCCCATTTGACTGCTATTCTTTTGTTGTGGAAATTTTCGAGCCATATGGACTTTTTCTAAATTTCTGTCTTTGGGTCAAAGACCACTTACTGTTTTCATTCTTGTTTACTTGTTGTAATGAGGAAATATCAGTAGCTACTGAAGAAGGGAAAACATATGCATTCTAGGATATGGGATAGGAAATTTGTCAAATAAAGCAAAGGTTGTTGGCGTGACCAAATTTAATATATTAATATTACATACTGTGTGGGACGCATAATTACTTGTATTGAATTGATGTCGTTCGAGCCATTCTCTATAGTCATCGAGGCTATAGCACTTATCATTTCAGAACTCAAGATCACTCAGAATTTTTAAAAATTAATCTTCGAAAATATCCTTTTTACTAGTATTTAAGCAGTCAATATTCGACTGGTAACTAACATAATCAATCCTGAAAATCGTGTCGAGTATGCGGTTTACTCATGCAAGTAACTATCCTTGACAGAGTGCTATATGCAGCATAAAGGAATCCTACGGCCGACATCAATCTTTTAGTTCTTCCTTTCAATAAAAAAACCCTTCATGTTTCTTCCTCCTTTTTCTTTCCCGTTAGAAGTTGGTGTCAAGCTAAGAAGAGATATGTATGTATTCTTGTCTAACTTTCACTCACTTCTCTCATCCTGTAACAATATTGGTAGTTTGGAAAGCTTGAGAACAGCTTTTCCTTTAGGCTTACTTAATAATCATTATAGCATTTTATAATTTAATTTGGAAGAGATATTTGTTAGAAAACAGGCCTTAAGTGAAATCGTCTGGATGCTGATGCTATTTGCATTATGTTAACGAGGAATTCTAATCACCTCCGACCTTCTCATGTAGTGTATTGTGCCCCGGAGACTCTGCTGCAGGATAAATTTATAAACGATTTTAATATTTCAACCATTTATTGTAGTAAGCAATACTGTTAACAAATTTTGTAAATCTTTCATCCCTTTTTAGCCATAGATGAAGGCGGAATAGTGTAGTACATATTCAGAATTCTGGTGAACGGCTGACCCATTTCCTGACTCACTTTTCTGTTTTCTCTCTGATCGATCTACTGACTGTTATCATTGAACTCCATTCGTTCCTGTGTGTAGCATTTAGACACCGGAAGTATACGGCTGTCAACGTTTTGAAATTGTTATCCCACCCGGTGAAGCAACGCATTATGTTAATCCCAGGGATATAAGAGGGAGAGCCGAAGATGCTGTCGATGTTCATGTGGAAGAAATGGCGGGGAGCAACAGCAACTCGAAATTACGGGTGGGGTCGATATTTCGGCTCCATAGATCCAGAATTAGGTGACAAAAAGCCAACATACATCATCGTCGGAGCTGGTTCAGCCGGATGTGTCCTGGTATAATTTTAGCAGAATTGATCTGATCTCCGACGATTGCTGAGGAATGTACAAGAAAGTTACAATGAGCGTCCTTTCAGGCTAGTCGACTGACAGAAAATCCAGCAAATCGAGTGTTGCTGATAGAGGCTGGACCGCGAGATTCAAAATGGAATTGGAAATTTCACATGCCAGCAGCACTTATGTACAATCTGTGCAATGACAAGTATAACTGGTAAGATCAATTCCTTCACTGCTAGCACAAGGATTCAAGCTGTTGATGAATTCACTTAATATTAAATATGCTATAGATGAACTAGCCTGGTATTACACATATAGCAATAAGTAGTGCTGAATCTCATTTGAGTATAGGACTGACAAAGTGCAAGGGTATTGAAATATCTGCGGTAAGCTTCAGGCAAACCGATAAAGTATCGACTTTCTTTGAATGCTAAGCCGTGGTCTTATTTATATAAAGTATAAAGATCGAAAAATGTCATTAAAAAAATATTATGGCAAGAAGAGCATCTTATCAGCTTTTATGAATGTAAATTTATAGGTTTTACTACACTCAGCCGCAAAAAAACATGAATGGCCGAACAGTTTACTGGCCTCGTGGACGTGTTTGGGGGGGTTCTTCTACTCTTAATGCGATGGTGTACGTTCGCGGTCATCCATTTGACTATAACCGTTGGGAGCAAGAGGGGGCTACGAACTGGTCTTACAAGTATCGATTCTTAAACTTTTCAAGTCAAAAATTAAAGTCCATTTAAATTTAAACTTCGGGTTATAGAAACTCACCATTTCAGGAATGTCCTTCCTTATTTTAAAAAGGCTCAATCTCATGAACTAGCGAAAGGACCATCAGATCCTTATCGAGGTTGGAATGGTCCACTTCATGTTACGCAAGGGAAATGCGAAAATCCGTTACACAAAGCTTTTATTGAATGCGGAGATCAAGTAAATAGGATTTCAGTTATCCATGGAAAAAATGCCGCTAACATATTTTTTAAAAATTTCGGACTCGATATAATCAATATTTTTTACAGTTTGGCATTGGTACTGTTGATGACATAAATGGGTATAAACAAGAAGGAACAGCTCCAATGGATCTCACTATTTATAACGGCTCACGTTGGAGTGCATCAAGAGCTTATTTGTGGCCTGTATGTAAAAAAAGTTTTCACATATTGTATTTGTTTATGTTTCCATGTAAATGACCGTTCTAAAAATCTTTCGCATTCTCTAATTCAGGCACTGTCGCGTCCAAATTTACATACCTCGTCGAATATATTGTGTACGCGCATATTATTTGATAACAATAAAGCAATTGGTATCGAATTTATAAGAAAAGTAAGTTTTTTTATTTGCTTGCAGTTTTAATAGATTTTGAGGAAGCTGAATATGGGATAACAAACTAAACAAATCGCGTTGTATTTTGTTAATGAATGATGTCTTAATTTTTTTCATTTTTTTACTGTCACATCTTCTGGGGCATAGAGCAAAAAGCAATATTAAAGAAAGTAGAATAGGCATAACTTTGTGAAACTAAAAGTTTTCTCCTGTGTTGCAGAGTGGTCCTATTACCGACAATATCAATTCGTGGAATCGTGAAAAAGTGTACTGTGAAGGAGGCGTGATCCTTGCTTGTGGTGCAGTCAATACTCCACAATTATTGCTTCTTAGTGGAATCGGACCAGCAGATAATATAAAAGTAAACTTTCCAAGTTTCAAAAAGGCATCTGTAGAAATAAGTCTTTTCTAGATGTTACCTTGAGGCAGTTTGAAATTGCTTGTATTTAATAACGAAGTTCCTTATAGGCTCATTCGATTCCAGTGATCGAGCACTTGCCAGGAGTTGGCAATAACTTGCAGGATCATCTTGAGGTCTACGTACAACAGGTTTTCACTAAGACTTCCACTCTTTTCGCTGCCAATCTTTAACGCTCATGGTTTACAGTATAAATGCACAATAAATGAATTCAAGTAGATTGAAATTCAATTTTCAAATAGATTAATGATGCTTAGAAATGTACGCAACCAATTACACTTTACAACAAAAGCTCTTGGCTTTTCCCACATAATATGATCAAAATTGGTTTGGAATGGTATCTGTCTAAGACTGGTCTTGGAGCGAGCAGTCATCTGGAATCTGGTGGATTTGTAAGAAGTACACCGAGTGTTCGTTTTTCTGCATACTTTTCAGTTCTTTAACTTTTCAAATACATTCAGATAAACTTGAGAAAGATGAGTTTTTCAGTACTTTTGATTTCAGATTTCTCATCCAGATATTCAGTTCCATTTCCTTCCTTCTACAGTGCATGATGATGGGCGCACCTCTGGTACATGTCACGCTTACCAAGTAATTTTCAAGCCATTTCTGAAAATTAAATGCTCTTTATGCCCGAAAAACTCAACTTTTCTTATTCATGCACCATCATTGTCTGATTAATTTAGGTACACGTTGGCCCGCTACGATCCAAGTCCAAGGGTACAATAAAATTAGCTAGTAATGATCCTAGGCGACATCCGCTCATAAATCCGAATTATTTGGATCATGTAGATGACTATATGGAGTTTAGACATGCTATACGAATTGCAAGGTTGTATTTGAGATGAATTTTTTGACAAATTTGATCGTGATTAGACGGAATTAAGAGCAACTTAGTTATTTTCGTAATCGTTCCAGGGCATTGTTAAGTCAGCGAAGCTTCGATAAATATCGTGGCGATGAGTTATTGCCCGGAGACGATTGCCAGAGCAACGAACAGGTACGATAAATTATCACATTTTATTAACTGCGTTAACGGATTCATATTCATGAAATGTTTGGTCTTCAAGGAAGCATTATTTTGCCAATTGTGTTGCTTGAAAATATTGTTAAATATTTTGACAGATTGACGACTTTGTTCGAACAATGTCTGCTTCTGCTTATCATCCATCCTGTTCATGCAAAATGGGAACTGAGTCCGATAAATTTGCTGTTGTCAACCCGGAAACAATGGGCGTCTATGGAACTGAGAATCTTTACGTAAGCTTGCTATTTTCATTAAATAATTAGTCGAGTGTCCACTGAAATTTAAAGACACTAATGTAAAATACAAAGCTTTATTAAAAATTCGAAAATAATCACTTGAAGGTAGCAGATGCATCAGTAATGCCATCAATTGTAAGTGGGAATCTTAATGCTCCAGTGATTATGCTGGGTGAAAAGGCGGCTGATTTGATACAAAGAAATACACCATTGGCCGTGGAAAATGTACCAGTATGGTCAAGTGAAGAATCAACGGGACGTACTTCCACTGACACTGCATAGTTCACAATTTTCTCGTTGTTTTGCTTAGTTGTTTTTATTAATGTTGCTGTTGGGCTTTAAATAGTTTAGTTTATTGTTAATAGGTTGTGTGCAAGAAATGTTTTGAGATCTTACATGTTCAGATTTTCGTTGACTTTTAAATTGGCCAATTCATCCCATTCCTCTAATTCCAATTCGTAAAAATCTGCAGAAACTTTATTATATTATGAATAAAATACACAGCCACCCATCCCCTCCTCCTTCTTCCCTGCTACCCGCTGCGAATAATCATACTTTCGAAAGCAACTTTGTTCTAAGATTTTCAAATAGCATTTTCTCTATGGCAAACAGTTCAGCAATAGTGTCAGCTATCAGTCATAGGTTTTCCTTGTTTTCGTATTTTCCTCGTAATCTTTTTTTTTTGTTCAGATTATTGCAGTAGGTATTTTTTCTTCATTTCAATCCTGCAAGTATGTAAACCTTGTCGTCTGGTCTCACTGATTATATGGGTGCAATGCATTTCATTATTCGGTTGTTCACAAATCCAACTTTTTTTAAACGAGATATCATGGATTACCTGCTTGTAATTAAAATATTATTGTTCAAAGAAACTCACTTAAAAATCCTTCCTCGGAAAGGATTTTCAAATGATTTAATTCCTTTTTTTCAAGTAATTTAATTTTTCTGCAAGACTGACATATCCTCTGATTATATAACATATGACCTGTAACACTGTAATGGTCTAAGATTTTCATTCGAGATCATTTAGTTCATATTCTTTAAAATATGATGAATGGCGTCATTTATAAACAGCAAAATTATACTGTAGATACGATCTTGTCGGTTAGAAGGCTTACAAATATTGTGGTGTACCTGAAACAGAGATTTCAGTGTTTCGTAAGCAAAAGTTTCCCGAAGCTTTATTGCATTAATGAGAAAAGTCAAGGAACGAATTCCCTGCAAATTAAATTAGAGGATATTAAAAAAGGGAAAAAGATTTACGTCATTTATGTGGTAAAAGGCACCGCGTTCCAAGTACGCACTTTCTGGGGGTACTAATACGCCTTTCTGATGCATGATAAGTGATGCTTTCTCTGTTTCTGCCACTGAACTTATCACGGGTACTGTGTCAATAATTTTAAGAAAATCTTGGTGAAGCTGAAATAAGACAATTGAAAGGTTCGTAAGGAAGTCGGGGGTTAGACTTATCAAGTGCGTTCTGGCACTTCACAAGAGCAGCTTCTTACCTGTCTATTTATTGCACTCTGCTGATGCAAAAGTTTCACATCATCAGATGGCCGAACGCCCAACGGTGCATACATTGCATAAGGACTGCCTCGGTGCGGCGTTGCCATAAACAATATCCCCATCGTGCTGCGACGTATTTCTGGGTCATCCAATAAAATTCGTTTCACCAATAAGCCGCCTGAAGTAGGCCCTTAGAACTCGCGTAAAGACAAAACAAAGTATGATAAATTATCGTCAAAAATAATTCGAAATCTTACCCATACTATGGCAAATAAATAGAACTGGTCGATCACCAACACCAGCAGTTTTGAGTTCCACCGCAAATTTTTGAGCTCTTGTGCTCACTGTTTCAACAACTCCTACAAAATGCACAAGCGAGGATAGGTAATCGATGGCAAGTATTCTCATTGGAATAGGAACATCTTGCGGAAGCCATGACTGCAATAAAGCAGTTAAAAATTACAGTTTGGAAGACTATTAATTTACGTAGCTGGAAATTCCCATAAACATTACTCTTGGCCAGCATCGGGTGCGTGGTGTCTTTGAAGGATTATCTTTTTCTCGCCAGGTCCAAAAAACGCTACCACGGATACCATGTATTAGCACCAAGTCAATTATCGGTGGTTGGTCATCATCTGGGCGAAAAAGCTCATAAACATTAGTTTTCAATGGCTTTCTAGTGCTATCAAAAACACTCAAACCATTATTGCAGATCTGTAAAATTACATTTCGGTAAAAACTTGGCTAAAAATCAAAAGATCCTAGTGAAAATCCTAAGAGGAACATGTATTCCTGTACTATTCAACGACATAAACTATCTAACTGAATTTAAACAATGAAGAGATTGCATGAAACATTTTCAATATGCAGCAATACATATTTAGAACGTTCCAGGCACTCTCTTCATTGCCATATGACAGACCGAACTCTACGACATGAAAATGGTCTATTTTCCTACTGTACCCACTTAAGCGTTGATATAGTCATGTTAAGATGAATATTATTTTAAAGGTAAATCCAGTAAGATTAAGAACAAGAAGTCTAAAAAAAGAAAATATAATGAATGCACCTTCTCAGTCATTAGAACTTCTTCAAAAACCTGTGACGAAGCCATAGATGCAAGCACTGGAAACCATTCTGAAAGCTGAATTTCATTTCTTAAAATCAAAAAGACAACAACTCGGTTCAATAAGTAATAACGATGAAAACGACCTGAATTTGCAACTGCAGTTGCACAGTATTCATTCTGCGCGACAATGTTTGCCAATATTTTCAATACGTTCAAACAAATGTTACGATTTGTTTCTCGATAGTGAATGCAAAGTTGCAACAGTAGTGTAAGAATGTCTTGATTGATAAGTTCTCTTCCATATCCAATCTTAGTTGCAAAGTTTCAAAGTCGAATATAGTAAAAACGTAAGATGTGAAAATGAATTTCAAAGTGCTGTTTGCCAATTTAAAATTAACATAATTAATTGGTACTGCATGAATCCTTTAATCGCAATATTCTATCAAAACTAATAAATAATCGTAAAATAGAATAAATAGCAAAATTTGCAATGGATTATATGTTTAAAAGCAAATACTGCATGAAATCAAATGCGATCAATCATCACTGAAAATACTTTAAAATACCTCAGTTTTGACAACAAGCTGAGAAAGAAGACGGTTCAAACGCTGATCTTGAGATCGCCGTCTTTTCAGGAAGTATTTATAAGATGAAGGATCGTCTTCATCATATATATGTGGAATTAACCATTTCACGGTTTCTTCCCATTCATCATCAATAACAAGCTGCAAATTTTTGTAATGAAGGGCATAACTAACATACACAAAAATTAAGTGCTATTTTTAAGAAGCGGAATAGTTCGCAGTATGAGATACAGTAATAAGGATTTCTAACCCGTTTTATAGCATCTTCCAACATTCCTACTGACTTAATGGATTTTTTAGCTGATGTTGTCGCAGTTCTCTTACATAAAGAGCTACCACGCAATGCAAGACGAAATCGAGCTTGCGTATTCATGATGCACAGTTCGACGTCCGGTTCTGAAATGTGTGTGAATTCTTCATTTACTTTCCATGACAGTCCATTACAAAGACTGAAAAATGTAACTTGTTCGTTCGAGATACTCCATGGCTGCCTTAGTGTTTTTATTTTGGTTGAGCATTGTGATAGCTTGCACAGAATCCTGGATTTTCCCATCTCGACGACATTTGAGTGCAGCAAATAGAGTTCTGAGAAAAAAGTCCTCTTCATATGCTTAATTTGCATAGTTACGCGGAATATGTCTTATTTCCTTTCCTTTTTCCAAACAATACAAAATAGAACGAATTAAAATATTACCAAAATGTCAATTATAAAAATAATTTAACAAGTTACAAAAAATCACGCGTCTTCTTGAAGTGTCGCTCATTAATTTGACTGAATTTTATTTTTTTAAAATTTAATTCAGTTGTGGTTGAAGAGTTCAAGCACACGAAGTGCAGAAGGGCAACTTACCCAAGCGAGAGTGGAGCGACAAGGCGCATCCGCATTTTCACCTGTTTTTGTACGTACTTGTTAATCTCTTATCTTAACTCATGGATCTTATGTCTAAAATGATAGTCAATGGAAACATTAAATCAAAGTGAAACAAAGAAAGTTATAACATAACTTCAGATAAAGAACTCTATGACCTTCTAAAATCATCCAAAACCGCTCAGATCTTATCAGAAACAGTAGATCTTCCAGCAGATATTTAATGGAAGGTCATTTAAGCTGAGCATACCCGAGCAGACATTTCATTTCACATTTCCAGCTATAAAATGTCATTTCCTATCCCGAATAACTACATCCCACGTCATTCAACTTCACGCTGAACGTCAACAATTCCAATACTTTCATGTAGTAGGCACGTGGTGTGTGAATGAATACTAACAACATTTTACAGTCGGATTCATTCCTGCAGTGTCCATCTATCCGAACGTGGAGAGAGAAGCGGAGAACATTATGCAAACTATCATCCTGCATATATGCACACTATTTTCTCTAGCATCAATCTCTCATTTAGTTATTTGTATTATAGAGCGTCATTCTCTCTTTTTTTCTTTTGATCTTATACCTATTGTATTTTTACTTTGTAGCTTTGGCAAGGACATTATAACACTCTTGTAAGTTCCCATTTGTGTATGCTGAAGAAAGTTAGAGACTGAGAAGATCAGTTAGGAGAATGGAACGGATCAGTGACTGACCTCCTTTTATTCTTTTCTATTTCTCCATTTTCTGACATGCTATTTCATTTATTTTCTCAATCTAAAATTATTCCAAATAAGTGTTATTTTTTTTGTCTGATCGTATTTTGCTAATGTATTGTAATTAAATGGCGGGTTTTTTTTTGCTGTGTTAGGAAACGCTGTTATCATTAACTAAATGATGGTTGCAGTTAGCATGTGATTATATTAATAGAGCTGAAGTAATAAAAGCTCATTTTCTTTTCTTTTTCCTTTTTTATGAACCAATAGAAGCACAGATGGAAAAGGGATTGAAATATATTAAGTGACGTTCAGAAACTGTATACTGCTAAATTTTGATTGCTGGTGATAATACGACTTTCACCTATCATTACTGATAGGAGAATAATTTAAATGTTTGATAGAATTTTTTAGTGTATATCTTAGATCGTATATTTTATTTTAGATCTAACTTATCTGGTATTAAATAATTTTGGAAAATGATTCAGAAGAAAAATATCAGAAATGAAGGTTAAGGTATCAACTTGAAAATGATATCCTTTATCTGATGTAAATCCATACTCCCACACTGAGAATTTAGCGGAAGCAATCCGAAATTTTCACATCTGGTATCGGATCACCGACACTTCCACCCATGAATATTGCTAGTTGTTATCTCAGCAACGACTCCTTCTTGTAATTGGAGTGATAATTGAACTTACTGAAGTGCTCACATATGTTCATTTTCAAAACTTCAAATTTTCTGTAAGTTCAAAAACTCTTAGATATCCACCCATTCTCAGCCACACCCTTGCGGTTCATCTCCATCAGGATGTAGTAGGCTTTTCTGGTCGTGTCTATGGTTTTGTGATTTGCTCCGCCTTTGATAGTTGCATTTGCCCACTTCATCGAGAGGCTTCCCTTAGGCAATTCCCCCATTCACCTATCTATCCATCCATTCGTTTACTGCTCCCTGTTCTTCTCTCCTTGTCCATTTGAATATAATCTGCGGAGTACCATTGATATGGCTAACTAAGCTAGTGACATCAAAGTGAATCATATCATCCTTTCTTCCATCATTATGGACGAAACTTGTCATTACATTTCCTTGATCATTTTCTGCATCTGTTCTTACAATGTTTTTTTTTTCTCATTTTTCCGTTATGCTATGCTTTGGATGATTGTTATTAGTGATAGCAATGTCTCAGGGGATAATCAACACAGGCCGATCATGGCATCCGAAAGGGCTTATTATCACTAGATGTCGCCCTCATATGCCAACAACGCATAATCGAAATAGAAGCTTGCATGCGTCCAGGTGAACACTTGTCAATAATCTTTTTAATTTCAAATTGGCACTTACTAATAATCAGTAGGTACACACTACTGTTTGGCTGTACACATTTCTTTTTCGTTTATAATCATTGAGCAACAGCTGATTAGATGAAATACCAAAGCCCTGTAAATTAGTGCATCACGCATTATCATTAATGAAGAAAGTTAAGATAAATCATAATCAGTCAGCTTCCTGAATGCATGAAAATGCATGCATTTTTTCATCTTCGATGAACCCTACGTCTGTAAAATTAATTATTAATGTTTATAATAAGTGCTTCTTGCTCCGTTCGAAAATATCCTTTTGACACTGTGCATTTATTCTCGTTTAATTTATTATCCTGCAAAATGTGCCAAATATTACTTATTTCATTAAAATCTCTTAAAACCCCTATAATATCATTTCTCTAAATCAAAATTCAATACTCCGTAAATTATTTATCAAAAGGTTTTCTTCTCATCACGAACTTCCTGATGATATATATAT